TTCCGAGTCAAAAAGCCTTTTGAAAAGTCCTCAGCTTTTAATCCCTCAACCTGTTTGGTCTCTTATCTTTAAGGAGAACTATCGGGACCGGAGAGATGGCTCAGTGGAATGGGTGCTTCCGTGGCAAGTGCAAGGGCCTGAGTTCAATCCCTCGTTCCGCAAAAAAAAAAAAAAGGAGAAATACCCATGACGATTCCATGCAGAGATGTCTGTCACTGCACTGCGGAGGGGGAGGACGAAACCTGGCTGTCCAACGACCAGGGATTCAGTAAAATATGTTATCTATTTAGCTGTGTATGGTGGCCAGCCCTCAGGAGGCTAAAGCAGGAGGGTCACTGTGAGTCCAAGGCCAGCCTGGGCTACATGGTGAGACCCTGTCTCAAAAAAATGGAAACAAAACAGTTACATTCCTGTGATGCACTACTTTACAAAAAAAAAAAAAAAAAAAAAAAAAGTTTTAGAAGAATGGTTAATGACAAGGACAAATATTCTCATTAGATTTTTGAAAGCTTGAAAATAAACAATAGATAATCCCAAGCTTAGGAGATACTGAAACCTGCCCTCTGAGTCTTCCTCCCAGTACATCTGGAACCTGCCTGTCCTGCCTGTCATCCCAGGGTCCACTCCTGTGATTACCTGTGGGCTCCACCACTGCCCCTCATGGCTTCTTGAGCCCTTGCCAGGAATGATCTTTCCAAACCGAAGTCGATGGGACCAGTCACCTCCTTGCAGAGCAGCCGCCCACTTGGGATGCATCCAAATTCCTTTCTGGGCCCCCTGCGGGTGAGACGGCCTGGCTGCCGCCCAGCCCTGGGCCTCACTTAGCAGTGTGTTTGCCCCAAGGAGGGGGAAGGCTGGCACCTGACCCAGCAGGATGTCAGAAGCTGGGTGGCAGGGAGCAGGGACAGGCTGTGGCAAGGAGCTGGGCTCTGTGGTCGGCAGGGAGGGGTCCCTCTGGTGGGGCAGATGGCTACCAGGAGCAGCTGGGAGGCCCCCTTGGATGCAGGCACCAGACCAGACCCATCTGATATTGGCTGTGGTGGCCAACGCGTGTAATCTCAGCACTCTGGAAGGCTGAGGCAGGAGGATCAAAAGTTCCAGTTTAGCTTAGGCAATTTAGTGAGACCCTGTCTCAAAATAAAAAAAACTAGAGGGCTGGGATGTAGCTCAGTGTTAGCATGCTCGCCCAGCCTATATGAAGCCTTGGGTTCCATTCCCAACACTGCAGGGGGGGGGGGCACATAAAAGAGCCCGAGCTGCTCTGAATCCCGGAGAACTCCAAGGCCTCCCATGTAGCCAGGCTTCTAGAGAACAGGTAGCACAGGGCGGAAACCTCAGAATGGCCCCCCAGCCCTATTCCTCCCAGGGACCTGCTGCCTGTGGGCCCCTGAGTACCTGGGTCCGCAGAGACATTGAGCAGCTTGCCTGAGGTCATAGAGCCCAGCCAGATTTCCCGGCCCCTGAATCTCTCCCTCCCTTGGTTCTTCTGGCTCCCAGGCAGCTCTTGCCTGCTGGGCCATAGAGCCCAGCGAGCTCACCGATCAAACAAGCCTCTATCCTGTAGGAAGGTCCCAAGCCGGTCTTAGGACAACTCTGAACTGAGGCCCAGGAACCTCCTGGTGACACCCAGCACCCCTAGGCACTGGGTCTCGGCTGCTCCCCACATGGCTGCTGCGAGCCAGGCTCCATCCCGGGCATCTGGGCGGCAGCAGAAGAGACTCAAGGTCAGCAGCAAGGTCAACACAGAGCCAGGGCTCACTGAGAATGACAAGGAGGAAGTGACCACCCCTGGGGACTGCCTGGCACCTGGCAGAAAGAGCCAGGCCAAGCCAGGCCTCTGCCTCATGGGCTACCTGGTGAGCTTTAGGAACTCTTCACAGACCCCACCCAGACAGGCACAAAGGTCAGCCCCAAAACCACCACAAGGAAACAATGTTACAGCGCTAACCGCCGGCTGACCACTGGCTGACCACTGCCCACTGCACATCAGCCCACAGGTGCCCACACCCCCCAGCCCAGCACACCTATTTTTCAGATGGGGAAACAGGCTCCTGGGACGGCGGCTGGCCTGCCGCTCAGCCTAGGTACACAGGAAGGCAGCAGCCTCACCTCTAAGCCGCAAGAGATGGAGTGAGACAGGCCTCAAAGAAACCTGACAGTGAGTCCGGGGTGGAGCGGCTTAGAGGCAGGACGGGATTTTTCCTCCTCCTCCATCTGCTCTGCCTCTGCCCAGCAGCCACTCGGGGACAGGAGCTGCAGGGCAGGGTAAGGAGCGCAAAGTGCTAGGCTCTCATGTTTGCTTGTTTTTGCCGGAACCAGGGATTGAACTCAGGCCTTTGTGCTTGCCAGGCAAGCGCTTATTCTACTGAGCCATCTCCCCGGCTACTCTAATGTTTTAATCTTATCCACAAAGGTGAAATGAAACAAAAGTCTGCTCGGGGTATTCAGCTCAAAGACAAGGGTTCTGGTAAGGCTGAATCCAGATGTATCCAGGCAGGACCACACAGCTGGAGCCCCCCATATGCACCCACACCCCCCAGCTTCTTCACAGTGACTCCCACTGAGGAT